GTTCGTGGCGGCAGCAGGCGACAGCAGACACCAAGCACGACTGCCTGCGAGTGACTGGTGGGCTCGTGCAGAGATGGGCGCACCAGGGTACCCTGAACATGTTCCACACGTATCCACTGGCAACGCTAGCGCAGACCCTGGCATCCTGGTGAGCGGGCGGGTCATTTGCTGATTGACTGAGCAGTTGGGCTTGGCGCTTTGTACCGGGTACTTTGGGACGAATGCGACGCCAGTAGGCATGCCCGTAGTGGCTTTTCTTCACTCATCTCGCCCGTTTGCCGCCGCAGAGGAAGCGACGACGAGGTGCCAACAGCAGCTGCACCACCCAAACCGCGATCACCCAGCACCCGGCCTGTGGAGGCATCATTGGCTGTTGTGGCTGCTCTCGTCGCTCCTGCTGCTGCACGACTTTCATGCTCCTGCCTCATGCTTCATGCCTCACCTCGACGGACGAGATGCACCAACACTGCACGGCTGCACGGCTGCTGCACGGCCTTTCTTTTTGCATCTGTCCCTTTTCCTAACCCACCTCATCTCCCCGAACGAACCTCGCCGCTAGAGGCATCACGATACAGTCAGCTCTGCTGCCCGCCGTCTCCTTGTTCCTGTTTTTGGGCACAGGGTTCCCTCTGGATGGTATCAGCGCCCCAGCCATATGACAGCCCAGCCTCGCCCATGACCACAGCCCAACGATCAGCTGAGTGTCGCTGCCGCGCAAGTCACGATTGCAGTCGAGAGATTCGGGCCTCTCGTGTCTTGGGCCTCGAGGACGTGCGACGTGGGGCGTGAAGGGTGGGTGGCACATTGTGATGTGCCCAGGATGGCCCGGACCACCATCTCTTCCTCTCGATCTCCCAGTCTCCCTCTCACTGTCTACCCTTCCGCCCCCGCTCCTGGTGGTTGTGTAGGTGTGTGGGTGTGTGGGTTCAATTTGTGGCCTGCTCACCTGCTGTCTTGGCAACGCAGCAGGATGCGCAGATGGAGAAACATTCCGCTGCCGAAGCGACTGGCGTGACCTGTTTGCCCAGTCACGAAATGTGAGCATACATCGTGAATCTCGTCGACTGGTGTTGTCGTGGGCATTGTGGGCACGATGACATCGACGAGCAGATTGTCGCGCGCTTCGTCCGAAGCCCAATGCCGCTCGACGACCAGTCGCCATGCGAACACCTCTAGCAGATCCACCAGACCGCTTGTCGGTACATCTGCCGAAATTCATGAGGCTGACGATGCACGATGCAAACAGACGGTGAAGGTCAGATTGGAGCTCATCGCGCGCGCAAGAGTCAGTCGAGGAATATCGTCAGACGGCGATCGACCTCTGACAGGCACGGCGTGCCCGTGAACCACTCCGCCGTGGAGACGGCCGACGGTACCGGCGCGGTCACAAACCAGCTCCGGAGAAGCCAAGAGCCTTCGAGCCTTGTTTTCGAGACTCAGTACCCTTCGCGCTTTTCGAAGGGATATTCCACTTTCATGCGCACCAGCATCAGGGATCGTCGCACCCCTCCTGTTTACCGTACGCTACTTGGCACGCTACCAAGGAAAACATATGGGGCTTTCGTCGGAAACAACGCCCGCCGCCTCGGGTACCCGAATTCCCCTCGTTACGACAACAAAGGACAGAAGACAGACAACATGCCACTGCACTAACGAAGCTGTTTGATGCCAGCCGTCCACATGGGAAGATGCTCGCTCGACATTCCAATCAGGTAGGGCACGACACGGCGCGGAAGACATGGTAATCAGCCTCGAACACGCGTAACGACAAATCAGCGTTGCCGACCGGCCAAATCTTGAACACCTACAATCACACCTCATTTCCTCGCCGCCTTCTCTAGTCGGCACGAGACATGCCATGCCCTTTGATGGCGTCTCCATCGATTTCCGAGTGGTGTCTTGCTTCTGCCAGTCTCATCTCTGCCGAATGGGCTGCGCTGTGTCTGGCATGACAGGCGCACGCCAAGGGCAACTCTAATAAGTAAGTTAGTGTTCTCAGCGCTATTGGGCCGCTTTGGCCAGTATTGTCCCAATATCAAATCGTTGCCCAACTCATCGCCCATTTGAGCCACTACGCACGCCATGCCCCAACCAAGGAAATCACGGGCCCGTCATGGCGAGCTCCCGGCTGCCGGCCACAGTGCAGAGCCAGTCTTGTAAAATTTGTCACGACTCGTCCCGCTTGTTCCCGCCGACGATCCCTCCAAACCCCCCCTTCCGCACATCGTGTCCTTATAATGACGCTTTTGGGGGTGCCATCTGCTCTTCGGAAACAGGCTTTGATTCCCTCTGGCTTCACATGAGCTCCTCGTTGCATGGTGCGCACATATTGAGTGTACGTAGTTACGTTGCTCATAAGCAATGCGCCACCAAATCCCGTTGCAGGAGTGTCCAGGAGAACCAGTTGGGACTCTCCGAGCATATTTTCGCGAATATAACACATTTCTCCAGCCAGCACATTCTCGAGATGCAAATCCTCGGCACCAGACGACAATTATGTCATGGCCCACCATACCAGATGCCGCGATGCTGGTTGATTGGCAAATTGGGAACAAATACTGATGCACGGTAGGCCTCGTTGTTTGGCGCGATGGATGTCATCTTGCTGGTACAACCCCTGCAATGGCCCCTCCACCCCACCAGGTCACAACTACATGGGGCACACCTCACACCTGCAGCCACGCCGTATTCGTGCAAGGCGTCCTACCCTATACTCCGACTCAGTCGGTCACTAAAGCACAGCGATCACCACCCAGGCCTCCAAATCCCGCGCCAAACGGCCGCGTATATGGTACTAAAAAAAAAATCGCGGTCTTGCGCGGGGTTGCTTTAATTGTTCATATAGATGTTGCGCCCAGATCTGCTCCACGAGGAGCGTCGAGCTGGATCAAGCGTGACGCGCAATTTGTCATGGAGGTGAAGCATACAAAAAGCTTGCCATCCCAACATGCAAGCAACAGACAGATTGATGTGTATGGGTTGTCGAGCTACCTTACGCCCTGAACCGAATGGATCATCAACCCTCCTGCAAGTAGAGATCCTCACCGCCCCTGGATCGTCAGGTCAGGGCCAGGTCAGGGCCGTTGTTCTGGTGGAAGGAGGCATTGATATGGAATGCGCGCCCATCTGCTGTTTCTCGTGGTGGTTGCCGCGCTGATCACACCACGATTGATTGTCCCACTCCAGGCTTCATTTTCAAGGAAAGGTGGTGTGCGTTCAATGCATCCTCTGAGGCTCGTGGTGCCAAAGCTGCCGTTAGACTCTCTCGTCATGTGGTCTCTTTCATGTGGACATGTCTTCGCACAGTTCGAAGCATGAGCCGCCAGGGCTGATGACGACCAGACAGTGGGTCAGGAGCAGTGCCCATCTTGCAGTGATGCAGCGAGTCGCACCTGATAAAACGAGAATCAGAAGAGACTATCATTACAGACATGTCGAATGAAATCGCCATCCAAAACCATGTCCTATCGACGCTTGAATGGATCAGTGTCGCGGATTCGATTCTGCGGCCGCTGAGCACAGAAACTTGATGGGATCAGCGGCGGAGGGCACAGTCTAGTAAGAGGACCCCTCACCTGGCGCAACCCCCCTAGAACGGTGAAACAAGGGCCAAACCAAGAGACCGGCCGACCGATAATTCAGCCTTTTGACTGCAGCGGCTGCATCAACTGCAGTAGTCGTGAATCACGCGCCGCGGACACGGAAGCAAGGGCGTGAGACATGCTCTACTACTCTCAGCTGATTGTTGTCGATGGGACGGTTGAGCATGTCGATGGTACTGGGAATGGTCCCCAATCGTCGATGTCTCAAGGGCCATCCAGAGGTGAATTGCCAGAACGCGGGCCAGTAAGCTCGATGCATGGTCGGCTCCTGAACAGATGGTGCACCATTGTCTCAGCCAATGGATCGTGCGGGCAGCACACATTGCCTTCCTGATGTAGTCGCTTGACTCGTGGGGCAGTCATCCTCACCCCAGGAACGTCTTGGCTGTCGGACAGAGCGGATAGGCTAAGTGAGGTCGAATCCAGGAGATGTGCCACATTGCACACGTCAACCTGGTTTCTACGTTGCTCTTGCAACCATGATGGCCATTCTAGGCGAAAAATTGCTCGTGCTTAGGGGTCCATGAGGGGTCCTCGGAGGCATTGGAGAGGATCGCCAACCAGGGCTATCAAGACGTCGCTCAGAGGCGCATACGCACTGTTTCCTCCCCTGGCAAGCCTGGCTCTTGGCTGACGGGTCCGAAAGAAGAATCGCCTTTCGCGCCTGTCGCAGAATTCCATCGAACAACTTGTCGACGGAAGCACAGAAACCCCAGATTTCCTACCTGCAGGTCAAAGCACCGCAGAAGACAGGAGAATGAAGGCATTGGAATGTGAGAGAAGCAACCTCATGTTGGTGGCCACGCTTTCCGCAGGGCGATACGCGCCGCTCGCTCACCGCTTCGTCGCAGGAGGCTCTTTGCCCCTCAAACCCCTGCGCGCTCACACACCTCCTGCAAGGCAAGATGTCTTGGGTTGCGCAACTGGAATGTGTGGAGGGCACGATGCGCCGCATTGGTCTGGGGTTCTATGGGGGCCTGCTCATATCTCACCTATTATCCTCGCAGATTGAGAGGTAACGCTGAGACTGGTCCACCGGGGGGCAGGGAGTTTGGCGATATGGCGGCTGGTTCCCATACAGGCAATTGAGGCCGCTGTCGGCTTATGACGAACAATGAGGGGCAGTGACAGGACCCTTGCTTCCCCTCTCTCGATCTCGTGGGGGCGAGTGAGCCAGCTGCAGACCGTGGTTGGTGTAATGAGCTGGGATGACCAACCTCGAGCTAAGATGCGGCCGCGACCGCACCAGGCTGTGTCAAACCTCATCTTCACTTTTTCTTCCCATCTGTGATGCGGCTCATGTTCTCGTTGATGACATTCCTGTCCACGTTTATAAAGCTCAGCGTCTTCAGGCAGGGCGCTTCACGATCGATCATGGTCGTGGTTCTGCCTCCGTAAGATACGAGATGATTCGCCTCTATACGGAAAAGCGTACGCAAAGCTACCTGTTGGGTTTTCGACTCAAGAAATGGCCTCCCTCAGATGGTCACAGGAGGTTGCCACCCCGCGATCCAACGCTTGCTGATCGACGAGGACCGCTCGACGAAAAAGACGAAGTACCAAGGACACGGATGGCGCCAGACGACTCAGAAGCAGACTTGAGACCACCGGCAACTTATCGAACGAAATCTCATTATGCCCATTGGAGCTAGCGGGAAGCAAGGTGCCCCCCACGTCTGTCAATTACATGGTACGACGCTGCAGACCAACGGCCTGCATGACCCTTGAACCATGGACATCACCCTTCTCGCACCACCCCCATCACCTCTCTGGTCGTCTGTACCTCCCGGATTCCCCCGCCACGAATGATCCTGCTCTGCAGATGAATTTCCGTCAAGACCAACGCGTATCGAGCGTCTCGACACCACATCGCTCTCTTTCGCGAAAGCGCGGGCTGTTGGACAGTTCGCTTAATGGTGCGACTAAGTCAGGGAGTCACGGTCACTGAACGCAGCCTCTCGAGGTTATCGACAACCGAGACGCACAGCATGATACAGTAGTTACGCAGGCTTGGGGCTTGAAGCACGATACTCGAGATTATGCCTCATTTCTTGGTGCCGACACCCTGCCCTGTGGTATAGGTGCTCGTACGAGTTTCCTTTATTGGGTCCTTTGGGGTCAGGCTAGCGAGTAAACTGTGGGAAGTCATTGCCTCTAACCTCTTGCGTTCTGACGAGGAGATCAGACTCCTGACTTGAAGCGATACCGTCCGCGAGTGAGGCCATTCGCAGATGGAGAGGGAGATTCTGGATTTTGGCGTGCCGGATGCCTGTCGAGCCCAAGAGAAACGATGACCAGGTCCAGAGGCTGGTTTACCCCACCTGCTGTGTCGGTTTGGTTTCTGGCTATTGTGGCGGGGCATCCATCTCATGTACCTCGTACAATGGCTTCGAACAGCGTCACGTGGAACACTCCACCACAAAATATAACAACCAAGGCCAACGACGGCTGTAAGGCTCATGGCTGGGATCCTGGACCCGTTCAGTCCGTCAATTCAACCTTGTTCATAAAAGCCCTCCCGAATACCGTCAGGGACATGAACGACGCTGAGAATGGTGACACGTTGTTGGTAGGCAAGGATAGCCTCGTTTTGCGAGAAGGCTCTTCCCTGAGGCTGACTGACCGCCACAGATCGCCAACGCTTTTCTACAACCACTCACCATCATAGCCATCCCTTGACTGCTCGCTCGACGGCCTGGGAGTCCGAGTGGAGCCTGGCGCTAACTTCCAACTTTTCTTCCTTTTCTGGCTTTTGTTTACCATGAGAATTCCTACCTAACTACCTACTTAGGTAGTAGGAAGCCAGCCACCACCTTAGTCACCCACGCTATATTCTTCCGCCGGCCGTAGATAGACCCCCGTCTTCCCCATCTGCTGAATCTCGATCGATCGGACATGTCTGGAAATCCCATCCCTTGGCTTCTTGATATAGCTGTGACAGCACACACGATGGGCCCCTCTCTCGGTGCCGGCCATCCTCCCGCCTCCCCCCTTTTCTCGTTTCCTCGGGGGATTAACATTCGCGTGGACTGGGGGCTCGCGCGTGTCATTGACCCTCCCTGGTAGGACGGTGAGCATATGCCGTCCCTTGCTGACCAGTTGTTTTCCTGTAGGCCCTGTCGCGATCATCAGGGGAATGTGCGGTGATCGCAAAGCTTGGTGTTTTGGCGGGGTCTTTCTCCTTAGGCGACCAACCCCTCATGCAGCTGTTAAGCTCACCTCCCTTGCTTTTCTGATGAAGAGGGGTTGCTGCGGCCTTCCGGTCGTTGCAGAGTGAGGCGTTCCATCGTGCCGATGGCGAGCGGTCTGGTATCGAGGAGACTCTCGGTCGTCTGTGCCATCCTGCATGGCGCGCAAGCGAGGTGGCTGCGGCTCCAAAACAGGGCGCCTGACTGCATCTGCCGAGATGTTTGCTGAGGGGGCCAAAGCGGTCGAACGAGCTTCGCCTAGGATATTGAGTGAAAATTCTGTTCCCAGAAGTTTATCGTTGCTGAGTATACTGCCGGCTGTTGGTCCTGTGCCCTTGGCCCCCGACGTGAGGCCCTCGAGGCCCCGACCCATCGTCTCTTGCGGCTAACACACGGCCTACGCCTCACTTGTATCCTTCATGGCGACAGCTTGGCCGGTTCCTCGTCGTTGTGGGCGCGGGGTTCTTCACGATGCTCGTCATCGGCGGGGGGTAGGTAGCGCCGCGAATCTCGCGTGATGTACACTTTGTCTATGCCGTTTCCTATGATACAATATTGAGAATACACACATGTTTGCTTTGAGCCTTGGGAGCGCCTCACAAGGCTTCTTCCCTACGAGGCCGACCGCGGCCTCTACTGCCCCTGCTTCTCGATACGGACGAGCTTCTGCAGCGCCAGCCCGTCGTCGAGCGCCCAGCCGGTGGCGACGTCGAGCTTGCACTTGCGGTCGCCGACGGTCATCTTGACAAAGCCGCCGCCGGTCAGCGCCCTCCTGACGCCCTCCCAGGCCATCTTGGCGCCGCGCCAGGCGTCGCGGAAGGGCATGGTCAGCAGCCTCTGCTTGTCGGCTCCCACTTTGCCTTGCGGCGGCCTTTTCCCGGTCCCGATGCTGCGCAGCTTCCCCCTCGTGACGCGGGGCTCGAACAGGCGGCGGCGCAGCGTTGAACTCTCGGCGCGACGAGCAGGACCTTGGGCTTGCGCAGGAACGGCGCCCACGGCTTGACGGCGACCTCAAGCATGACGGGCGTCAGGCGCGGGTTGACGCCCGGCGGCAGGGCCCTGCCGACCAGGGTCGCGGTCGGCACGGCGCGCACGGCGCGCACAATGTTGGCGGCGCCGAAGACGAAGAAGGACCCCATGCCCGCGAGCGCGACGCACGTCATGGTGTAGACGTTGGGCACGAACCACGCCGCGTCCGCGGGGGCCGTGAGGTACCAGTTCGCGACGGCCGCGGCGTAGCACGCCGAGGTTGTGGTCCAGGCCGTGGCCTTCATCCAAAAGTGCGACGCCGACTCGTAGAGGATTGTCGGGGAGGGCGAGCGCGCGAGCTGCAGGAGGAGGGGGTTCGTTGTCGTTGCCGCCGAGGGCAGGGGTGTGGCGGCGGCGGCGCGAGGGGCTGCTGTTGGTTTGGGGGTTGATGTCGCCTTCGACGGTAGGATTCGTGTCGGCTTGTTGACGGCGAGCCTTGCCGGGGCGGATTTGCGCGCCGCGGCCTGGAAGCACGACAAGGTCGTGAATGTCCGGCTCGTCGAGAAGGGTTGGCGGGCGGAGGAAAGCGGCCCTCGGAGGGCGACGCCCAAGGCAAGGCCCCTTGAGCAAGCAGCCATTGTGAACAGAGGAAGATCGAAGCGCCTGCAGCGAGGTATCGAAAAGCTCTGTGGTGATCCCAAGGGTTTCTCAGGCCACTGGCAGCAGTTGCAGGTGAAGCTATCCAAAAAGTTCAAGAGGTGGCGACAGGGATTCGCGGACCCACTTCAACTGAACCCGCGGCTGTCCGTTGGCGACAGCTGCCCAGGACTACTGTCACTGTCACCATGTTGATACCTGTTATTGCTTCAACGACGACTACAATGCTCGCCAATGCGAATTTGTCTTTTCATGGCTCACCGGCAGAAATGGGAAATGTTATTCTTTAGGTTTTTTCTGCTATAGTCCTATTATGTCGTTTGATTTGTGTCATTGGCGTTACATATGTTCACTATGCGCCTTGTGGGACGACTTACACATTTACCTGGCCTGCCCAATATTGGTGTTCGGCCAGTCGCCTGCTGCAGGCTGCTCGGCATATCGACGGTCAATCATCTGTAGCAATAACATACTGTAACATCCTTGTGTTGAGGAGGCGGACGTGGTCGGATATGTCAACGAAAACATGGGCGAGTTCTTGTCAAGACTCGACCTCCACTGAGCTCTCTTCGACAGTTTTCTGCTCTCCGTCTCACGAACGGATGCTCCGCTTTTTTTTCCGAGAATGCTCTGTATTCTTATAAGTCTTTGAACATGAATCTTGCTTCCTATGCTCACTCGGCCATCTGGTCGTTGGTACAGGCCATCGCCACCTTCAAGCGAGAAGTATACTGCTACACGGCTTTGCCCGTTGGGGATTTGAATTCCACAACACCGAAAAAAAAACATGCACGCAACAGAGGATCATCCTCCAGAGCAAGAAAGACTGCTTGCTGAGGTGTGCGGCGGTGCTGCAAGCGGATTCTGTAATTAAATGTCTAACATCGGGTGAGACGCATCACGGCACGGAGCGGACGTAGATGGCCTGGCGAAATCAACGACAAGAATAGGACTTTATTCCGAATATCAAAGTCGTGATCGTTTCTACACTATGCTCTCCGGCGCATCATCGACGCTGTCGTGGCACGATCCCGAGAATCTGGCCATAAGGGGCCAAAGATATATGCCAAGAAAAGTGCAGCAAATTCGTGGGAGCAAAGTGCATAAGACTCACCTGCCCCCCAACCCTGCGTCAGGGTTGGGGGACAGGTTGCGGTAGCTCCACGAGGCCCGAGCTATCGCTGAGCTTTTGCAGGCTTCAGGATTCGAACGTGCGGTCTTTGGGGGTTGCTTCGTTCGTTACCCACTGGGCTAGTGGGTTGTTGGGAGAAAAGGCAACTGTTTTGAATATAGAGGACTGTGGCTGGCTCTTGGTTGCTGCCTGGCATGTGTCTATCTTTTGTTGCCGATAGGGAGGTTCGCGAGGCGCAGGTACAGAGCGCCGCCGCGTCCGTCAGGGACGACACCAGGGGGGCGATACGGACGCAAACACGGGCCGCACTTCTTTTAGCATAGCTCCCATATACTGCATGTGGTTCGACACTAAGCTTGATCCTCTTTCTCCCACATCTGGAACTCATATCGCGTCCCATTCTCCTCCTGCTCTCCAGCGTCCACCTCCTCTCCAACCCAAGCATCCAGCTCCCCCTTGTCCCTCTTCACCCACCCCTCCGCCTGTCCCAGCTTCAGCGGGAAGAAGGCGTCACACTCAAACTCGGGCTCGCCCACCCGCGTCAGCAGAACCCGCCTCGCCTCCCTCCTCTCCAGCGAGGCGCCGTAGATCTGCGCCCCGCCAATGACGAAGACGCGGCCCAGCGCCGCGGCCACCCCTCGAGGAACCGGACCGCCTCCTCCAGTGACGCCACCTTGACGGCGTCCTTCTCGATGTCCACCTCCTGCGCGGCACCCGGCAAACAGCAGGGAGCGGCGGACCTGCTGATGACGACGTTGAGCCGCCCCTTAAGCGGCCGGAAGCGCGGCGGGGATGCTCCTCCCACGTCTTTGCGGCCCATGATGACGGCGTTGAGGGCCGTGGGGCGGGGGCCGAGGCCGGCAGGCCTTTTGGTGACGCGGGCAAAGTACGCCATCTCGCGCTTGAGGCCCGTCCAGGGGAGAGTGCCGTTGCGGCCGATGCCCATGGTGCGGGTCGCAGCCACGATGAGAGTGAGGTCGAGGGTGGGGGCGGGCGGCGGCATGGCTTCGGTGTTGGTGAGCGGAAATGGCCTTTTGATCAAGTGAATTGATGCTCGGCGATCTCGATAAATGACTCGCTAGCTAGGATCAACCACAAGTCCAACGGCGATGAATAGTCCGGGTGGCTGAGGGTATGTGGATGGTGATGGAGTGAGGTCAAACGAGGTGGGGGCTTGATGGAGAGGGCGACTTTCGTAACGCGTTTTCGCGTCGTCTCAGTTAGACGTCGACATCATTGCTAGCCCAGCCCGCACAGTTCCAGGTCAACGACAGTCGCAGCCAAGTTGGTCCACCTTGCGACAAGTGCAAAAGTGCCAGATGCCAAGGTCATGCAAATTATGACTGATCATTCAGAATTGCATTCCGATCACAACTTGACCGGTTGTGACAGTCTTAAGCGCTCGTAGTATACAACTGATCCATGCTGGCGCTTTCTCGACATACTTACTGCACGCATCGGCATTCCAACGCTACTATAATGCAGTACCATTGAGTACAACCGGCTCCGTCACGACTGATACGGTTGCAAACGTATCAATTCACAATTCTTTCATGTACTTGCTGTCTCCTCATCATGCGAATAGTTGCACATAACCTGCCTCCCATGCCAATCGACCCTCGCGCCCATGGCCGCCGATGCCTGCCAGATCCTGATCAAATGTTCAATGAAACGATACGCGTTCTCTTGCTGAGCCTCAACCCCGTCATCCATACGCTCCGAGACACATTCGTAGACGGTTACGATGGAGAACAGGATGGTGACAGTCTTCATGAGAGCTATTTGGAACGTGAACAAGGTGTCCGAAAGAGGGATGTACGATCGATAGCAGGCGACAGCATCCAGGGCGAGGGGTGAGTAAAGCGAGGAAGCAACAGGCGCAGAGGAAGCCAACGAGATACTCGGACAGAGGAGTCGGACAGAGGAGGAGGTTTGTTGTTTTGGCTGCGTTGAGCTTGTCTCAATGTTGGCAGATTTCCGCAGCCAACAGCCTGCCGTTATCCATCTTGTAAGCGGAGAGTCGATGATAATGATGCCATTCGATGCTCGTACATTCAGTGGTTTTGTCCTTGACAGGTCCCGCAAGGTGAACAGCAGGATGAGACCAAGAAGACCACAACAGTGAACGACGTCGGGAATAGTGCGTGTATTATACATCCCGATAAAGTGCCTAGGTACCTAGGTAAGTAAGGTAGGTAAGGTAGTAAAGTATATACACGGAAAGAGACCTGCAGGTGCCAAGGCCCATATTGGCCTTGAGCAGGAACGTAATATGCGCCCGGTGTTCCTGCCCCCCTATTCTCCCTCCCAATATATCGGTCCTCGCCAGGTCGAAGGTGATTGACGCTCACCGAGGCCGAATCGCCCCCTTGGTCGACTCGCTCCATTTTCCGTGGATATACTGCCGCACCGTCTTGCCCCAAAACACAATCGGCACGGCAAGCGCTCCGATGACCAGCACCAGCACCAGAATCACGAGGCTCGACTGCACATTGACCTCCTTCTTCACCCACGCCATGAGGTTGATTCCGATGCCGAACGCCACCATGTCCCGCACAAAGTACTGCACCGCCAGCGACGCCGACGCCCATGGCGGGAACGCCTCGATGATCCACAACACGACCGCCACCTCGCCCGGATACGTAGCTGAACATGCAGAGCCCGTACGACACGTAGTACAGCACGGCCGAACCGCCCGAGCTGGACCCCATGGCAAGAAGGACCTGCAAAGTGCGCTCGAGAGCACCGGAAGCACGAAAGCCCGGGAGGTACACCTCGGCGTGCCGCGTGCCGCCATTGCGCAATGTGAAGTACCGGATCGACAGGCTGATGAGCGGACCCGACGCCGGGATGGCGAGGAGCGACCCGATGATGGCCGCCGCGCCGCGGTAGACGCCCGACATCCTCACCTCGTCGTGCGGCAGGTTGTGCTCAAAGTGCCCCTCGAGCATGAGCGTCGTGAAGATGACGCCGCTGAGGATCGTCGCCGAGAGCAGCGAGACCCAGACCAGCAGTGGGTTGCACATGCACAGCAGCATCTGCGCGTACACTACCAGGCCTGACTCCCACTGCGTGCCTGGCGCGCGCTCAATCTGGCGTCGTAGGGCCCAGTCGGACGGACCTGGCGTCTCGTCGTGGTTGTGTGGGCAGTCGGGACCGCAGGGCACCGCCTCCCAGCTGTCATAGATGCGAACCTTCTCTGTACTGCTCTGCACTAGGACCCTGCCGTTGAGGGCGACGGCGGGCCGGATGAAATACGTCTCGGGGATGAAGCAGTAGGATATGATGAAGACGGCCAGCAGGCCTCCACACCATGCCAGGTACACAGGGCGCCAGAGAACGCTAGGCTTCAGAAAAAACGGCAACGCCATATGAAGACAGTTGACGAAGAAGGTCCCGAAAGCCCAAAAGACGGCGAATGCATATGGCCGCTCGTGAATGAAGGTCGCATCCACAATGATCAGTATTGCCTGACATCCGATAGTCAGCGCACATCATATGAACACAGAGACCTGCAGACGACGGCCACTCACCACAGCAAATGTAGCACCTCCTGAAATACCCTGGACGCATGTAGCAGCCATGAGCTGGTAGAAGTTTCCCGCCATGGCAGCCCACAGAGTCATGAGTGTTACCGTAGCCGAAGCGATGAGCACGACAGGCCGTCGTCCAATGGCCGTAGAGAGGGGCGTGGCGATGATGTATCCCATACCAGCAGAAAAGGTCATGACGGACCGCAGGGACCTGGCACCGAGAGGCTTTAGCGTCTGCAGAAGGTGTTAGCCGGGCTCTTCATCTTCAAATTATCTGGAGAACAGACTTCGTCTGGGAACTCGAGTGCTAGACCAATCTGCATGCCAGTGGGCAGGTTGAGTGTGACCGTTGCCGTCATGGAGAATATGCACACACTGACGAGGGCTGCTATTCGGGTTTTGACCGTCCATGCCAGCGGATCACGCGGCGAATTCGAAGGTATGGGCAGCTTCAGAAGCTCGCCAGACTCGGATATGAGAAAGACGCTACCGGAGATCTCTTCGGATGGCGTCGTTGAAGGGCGCATCGCAGGCCTGACGTAGCTAGCCGCTGGTCTTGCTGGTAATGGCTCGGCTTCGCTGGCCATGTCTGATGATTCGCTATCCGTTGACATTATGAGTTTGGGAGACGTAGGACTCTCCATGTTGGCGAAATTAGAAGGATTAGCAGCAGTATGCCAATATAAAAAAGAGAAGAGATATTCCTGTGGATTACACAAGAACTGACTGCGCTTCCCCTGTCCAGAGTCAAGTCGCTGGGTTGGACCACCCTTAGGGAATGGAGGAGCCCGAGGCGAGGCCCATGGCCGCTTTTGTCTGGCTCTATCTTACCACTGCTTTTCCTTATGCTGACCCAGCCGAGGCAGAAAATGATCCGCGTCACCCAGAAATAATTCCTCGTCCACCTTCGGACGAAATCAAGGTTCGATGGGGAAACGGGCCATGTAACACATTGAAGTTGAAGACCCGATAGCCCCAATGGCGGACAGCGCCGTGGTCAAAGCTCGCGGCACACGATCGAAATAAAGGTGTCGACCGGGGAAGTAGCTCCGCCATTTGTTTCCTTTGGGCCAAGTTCCTCGTTACTGATGTGGTGTGTTCGGGTCGCTCAAGTCCCGCGTAGAGCGCCGCGTAGATCACGAACCATATCCTGCCCGTGGCCCGTGGCCCATTCGCACAGGACCGCCCACCTACCGAACTCCCGAATACCTGGGACGGAATGCCCGAGCGGCGAGGGATAAGGTGTAGAGAGTGCTACACCACATGACTTGTGCGAAAGATTGACATGAACGTCTGGTCATCTCTCGGCGGAAACTCTAAATCGCAGTGACTTGATGGTTGGTGGTTGGTCAGTAGCTGAAACGTCCACGGCCATGGGCGAAACCATCCACCAACCCCAATTTGAGATCCTCCTCGATCTTGTTTGAAGATTGACGTGTCAATCCCTCCGATTGAACAACAATACCTGGCCCATCACTACGATCGGGAATTCGATTAAGTAGCAGTGCTACGCCATTCGTGTTGTGCTCGGCTTCGGCCCGGTCAATGGGAACCTCAGTATCGAGCACGGACTGGAAGTGCAGGATCTCGAGCCGTCTAACGTACAGCGAGGAATGATGGTCTTCCCCTGAATATAAGTCGGGCTTGGGGTAATGTAGACGACTTGATGAAACATAAGCTCGCCCATACAGAGGTTTGGGTGCGGATGGTCAGTCTTCTCGTTGGTGCCTTATCACACGGCAGCGAACTTCTACCGTATGCCCTTGCTCACAAGGAGTTGTCCCACACACACTGAGCGCCTGGACTTGTGATAGACCATTAGAAGATGCAGCAGAAGCGGCCTTGCTTTGCAGCGCAGTCTCAGGTGCTGCGTGGTCATCATTGCATACCGTTAGGCGCAGTGATCTGAGCTGTTGGATGTAGCAAAAGCCTACGGGCTAGAAACGAGGCGCAGAGCGCCCGAATGATGCCGAAGCCACAAGTGCTACAGCTTCCTTGCATGCCTTTCCAGCACTTTCCGTCTTCGAACGCAATGAGCGGCCAGCTCCGTATAGGTCTGTACTTCGCTAGCAACCGAAAATTTCAAGCCAAACAACTTGGCAAGGGCTTCATCGATGTGTCCTGATACATGTCCAAGTTTCTTGCTCCTGCTCAAGATGGCCGACCCATCGCTGATCGTGTCTTCTCCTGGTTTTAGAAACTCGGTTCTAGACTTGACGTGGCAGGGGGCCCATTGCCAGAGGCACATAAATGCAACGGGAAAGCTTTAAGCGAAGCTGTGCTGTCTACACCCATAGGCATAGCTGCAGTTCGGTGAGGCTTGTATCAAAAACTTCCGAAGACGAGTCTGTTGTCGTAGCGTGGGAGGTTTTGTGTGCAGACGGCCCAGCAGGATCTCCAGGTTGTCAGGATAAACGCAGAGCACATGTAAACGCTCAATAAAAACATCGGAGGAACTTGACGCTGATTC